CACGCGACTCGGGTCGAAGCTGAGTTGGGCAGATTCCACACGCTCCCTGTATGTCCTCAAGAGTCCTCACGGTCTTTCTGAGGTCGGATTTTGCTGCTTTGTAGACCTCAAGGTTCCCAGACTTGAAAGCAGCGGTGCGTGCTTTGAGCTTGGCCTGAACCTCTGGCCCAAACCATGGTTTCTGGTTTGGGTAGCACTGTGGTCTGCTGTATCAAAAGCAGGGCAGAGGAGGGGTTTGTGTAACAATGGTCCAGGATCTAAGCACCCCCCCCCCAGGCTGAGATATGTGCTGATAGAATTTTGTTCAAACGGTCTTCATGTTGGTTCTGTTAAAATCCCCCACGACGATCAAAGCAGCATCAGGAGGAGTGTGTTTATAATCCACGGAGTTCGTTCTTGGGTTTTGCAGCGCGAGGTGGAACCTAGACTAATGTGAGAACCACTGAACTGAACCCTGTGGGCACAGAGAAGGGTGAGATTTGAAGAGTTAGCAGCTCCAGGACTGCGTGCATCATCTGTTGCCCACCAAGACTTAACAAAGCGCACGCTCCTCTTGACTCGTCTGAGTCTGAGCTGGATGGAGAAGTTGTCCAGAGTCACAGCGCAGTCGGGAGGGACGGGTCCAGCCATGATTCAGTGAAGGAGACGACAGCAGTTCCACGTGTCTTCTGTGTGTGTGGGGGGGCGATATGGCTCAAATATAATATTGTGATATTTCAGAGCATTCTGACGATAAAGATAAATTTCACGATATTAAAAAAACCAGAAATCAGTTATTCATTTGTCAAAATTAACAACATGTTGCTTTGCAGGATTACATAAAATAAAAAAGGGTTAATTTGACTGAAATAACTTTATTTAGTAAAATATTCAGTCTCCAAGTATAAAACTAAAAATGATCCTTCTGTTATTTAGATGGAAAAAGTCAGCACAAAATATAGATCAATAAATCCACCACAAAAACTAAAGTGCAGGGTGAAGTTTCCCAAAATAACTGAATAAAATGAATCTTAAGATCTGTTGATCATAAATGTAACAAAATATATATGTTTCTTTAAATGAGCTGCAACTTCCAGAAGTTGAAACAAGGTGATCATGTGACCCTGAAGCTGGTGGAGTTTCATCTGTTCCTGCAGGAACATTCATGTCTCTGATCACATGACTCTGTCTCTGATCACATGACTCTGTCTCTGATCACATGACTCTGTCTCTGATCACATGACTCCGATCACATGACTCTGTCTCTGATCACATGACTCTGTCTCTGATCACATGACTCTGATCACATGACTGTCTCTGATCACATGACTGTCTCTGATCACATGACTGTCTCTGATCACATGACTCTGATCACATGACTGTCTCTGATCACATGACTGTCTCTGATCACATGACTCTGATCACGACTGTCTCTGATCACGACTGTCTCTGATCACATAACTGATCACATGACTCTGATCACGACTGTCTCTGATCACATAACTGATCACATGACTCTGATCACTTGACTCTGTCTCTGATCACATGACTCCGATCACATGACTCCGATCACATGACTCTGTCTCTGATCACATGACTCTGTCTCTGATCACATGACTGTCTCTGATCACATGACTCCGTCTCTGATCACATGACTCTGTCTCTGATCACATGACTCTGATCACATGACTCTGTCTCTGATCACATGACTCTGATCACATGACTCTGTCTCTGATCACATGACTGTCTCTGATCACATGACTCCGTCTCTGATCACATGACTCCGTCTCTGATCACATGACTCCGTCTCTGATCACATGACTCCGTCTCTGATCACATGACTCTGTCTCTGATCACATGACTCTGATCACA